GTGTGTGTGTGTGTGTGTGTGTGTGTGTCCGGGCGGAAAAGCACAAGACCGGCCTTTGGAAAGTGCAGCATCCTGTCCGTATTGTTCAGCACCACAAAAAGAGCATTTAGCCTCAACAAAGCCTGAAGCAAACGCGACGCTCACCGTCTGATCAAAACAGGTAAATAGGGGCCCATGCTCAGGGTTTCAACGCCAAAAGAGGTTGGAAATGTGCAGAGAAAAAATTGGGGCAATTGGAAATCAATGTCTAAATTGCACGCTGGCGTTTGTCGTAGCAAGTGCAATTTAGACATTCTTGCGCGTGCACCAAGCATGTTTTTTATTGTGCCTTAAACAACATAAAGTTTGTAGTTATTAGACTTTAAATAAGAAACATTAATATTTATTTTGCGGCCGACAGGAAGTGCATCAGAAGCATTTTTGGCACTTATCTTTGCCCAATGTGGATTACACACGTTCACTGAGAAAGGTGGAAAGAACCTTCACATTTGTCAAAACATTGAATGAGAGAAAACATGAAAAATTGTGTGTGTGTGTGTGTGTGTGTGTATGCCTGCAAGCGCTACATTAATTTGCAGACATGTTATTAATGATCAGTCGAAATCAACACAGAACGCAATTGTTTCGGATTATTATGTTTATATATGCAGGTCTACATTCCTATTGTTATAGGATATTACAGTCCCAAAAAGATACACAACAACTATCATAAAAATACAAACAGGACAGACAGTGGCAGATGTTTTGATCCTGTACAAAATACTCCACTTGCAACGAAAATGATGGATGTGGACACACTGAGGATTTCAAGTATTCTCTTAGTTGGGAGTGCTGCTACGTGCCCAAATTGTACTTTGAGCATTCCACGTACAAAAAAAAAACAAAAACAAAAACAAAAAAAGTATACAATGCCGTAAAGTGTCAGTGTTGAATTAGCTTTCTTTCTTTTTTTTTTTGGAAGAGGACGCCCGTTTGCGTAGAAAAATAACAAGCATCAAAGAGTCTTTAAAATGGCGTTACCAATGAGCCAAAATCATGATAAATACAAAAAAGGAAGAAGCGCTTTGTAGCTGCGTTGTCATAGCTGTCCATAGTGGTTCAACTCGTGACAGTTGGGGCTTCCACGATTATTATTGCTCCTTGCTGTCGCTCTTCTCTTTGTTCATTTTCTTCATCTTCATTCGCCGGTTCTGGAACCAGATTTTCACCTGCCTCTCGGTCAGGTTGAGGACCCGGGCCACCTCATAGCGGCGGTCCCTGGTCAGGTACATATTGAACAAGAACTCCTTCTCCAATTCCAGAGTCTGGTACTTTGTGTAGGGGCAGCGCTTCTTCCTGGTGGAGCGGGCGTGGATCCAGTTTGCCACGGGGTTACCTGCAATGAAAACCCACGACATGAGCAGTGAGCAATCTTGCTGGCGAGCCATACGTGCACGCTTGCAATGTCATTTCTTGCGCTGGCCAAGCATCCACCGATTTGCTTCGGAGTGTCCTCAACTTACCGCCTCGTAAAAGTCTCAATGCGCTTATTCACTTGATTGGCCCATAAAGTGGCCCACAGTTCAAGCATTACACGTCCTCGGCCAATCTCAACCAATGACATTCCTCTAGTTCCGTGGATGAGTTTAGCCAATTCATTTTGCAATCGTCTTAAGGAAATGTCAAAACACAAAACATTTGGCTTTATTTGATTGCTTTCTTTCCTCAATGCTGGGTCGGCCTAAAACGGCCGAACTTCTCACGCCCGTGTGACGGCAGATGCTCAAAGAGCAGAGATAACGTTTCTGAAAATAAAAAGCGCCACTGCATGACTTCTCTGCACCCAAATTCAACATCTTCCTGCGCCTCTTCTGCGGAGAGCATGTTTTCAGGCTCGTCAGCTTTTTACAGCCCCAGTATTATTAGCCAAGCAGCGTTTGTCCTTTATAGTTCCTAAACAGCCTGGAGCGGGGGGGGGGGGGGATCATTTCCCTTCACTGCGACCATGCATGTTGTTCCAGAAAAGAAAAGAAAGACGGAGAATAATTAAGGAAAAAACATGCAGGCATGGACCAAGCGGCTGTAAAAGAAGGTTGAACTTACTTGGGTCAAGCTCGGGCTTCTCCTCTTTATGCTTCCCCGCGGGCAGCAGCTCCGGTTCGGGCGACGGGAGGCTCTGCAGTGTCTTGTCCCGCATGTCCGAGGAAGAGCAGTACAGATAATCCGTGTAGGTCCGCCCGGTGCTCGCCAGGCACTCGGCGGCTCTGTGCTCCGGGAAGGCGTCAGGTTTCAAGCCGTAGTGCCTGCCGCTGCCCGGGTAGCCGTGGAAAGGTACTGCGCCCGAGATGGGCTCCAGCCACGAGCGCACGTACCGAGAGTCTGTACCCAAGTGAGCCTGGTGGCTGTACGGGTGGTACACCACTGAGGACTGCGAGGGCCCCCACGAGGTGGGGAAAACGGACGGTTTGGCGGCGAAGCTGCACGACGGGTAGTCTCCGCAGTCCGCGACCAGGGACGCTGGACGCGGGCCGGAAGGGTGCGAGGCGGGCGCCGAGAAGCGAGTGGCAGCCGCTGCCGCCGCCGCCGCCGCCGCCAGGACCTCGTCGCTGTCGTGGCTGATCAGGGAGTCCACATAATAATTACTTATGGGCCCCGTGGTCGACATGTCGCAGCTTCCCGCACTCGTTTACATGCATCCGATTATTATATGGCGTGTATGTGTACTTTTTTTTATCTGACCGTAGAACAATCACGGCAGGTAATTATTTTTCCGAGCTCCGCTGCTTCCGATTGGCTGCCCCAGCTTCACGTGACAAAAATCGCACGGCGGATCAATGCGCCACTTACCGCGGGGTAGCCTTGCACATACGTCGAATTAAAAAACTTTGGCTTTCCACAGTGGACCTCCACTCCAACTTTAGTGCGTTGCTCGTTCCTGTTCTTTTCTTTTTCTCGTGTTCCGGTCAATAGGACGTGGCGTGAAGGATCTTTGTGCAGACGCAGTGCAAATACATGCGCACACTGCGTCTGAAACGGAGCCCGGCACTATTTGACGCTGTCATCAATCTCTGTCCGGCTGCATAATGCTCCAGCTTGATGGTACTGCGGTGAATAATATTGCATCTTAATTGAAAATGTTTCTTTGCACAAACGGCCCTCTTTAGCCGCTCTTTATGAGCAATTATGACATGTCGTCTACTGTGTTTTTTTTTTTTGGTGTGTTTCTTTTTTTAAGAAAAAGGATGGCGCTGACCGCTAAACAGACAAGAGAGGAGTCCCTGGGAGACGGGGGAAGCCCACAATAAAGTTTATGCCGTTTTCAAGAGGGCAGAACGACATTCCCTAAAATGGGGGTCCAGGGAGATAAGATTGTCGGGACCCTGGTCTACACGGCAGCTGACAGGCAGCCTACAGGCGCGGCTGTATTCAACATTGTGGCCGTTCATGTTTTAATGCCTGTCAATAAATTTTAACGACGATCATTTGATTGTTCATAAACGTGTCGTTAAGCAAGCATCCCGGTCCCACGCTTGACGTCAAAACGTTACACTTGTGCGCATGTGAAGCACACGCGCAAAGACCGAGGACATGTTGCAGCTCTAAAAGGAGTTTAAAAAAAAGCTCGGTCTCACAATGAGGATACTGTCGTTAGTGGAGTTAATTTGGCTGCTGTATCCCGCAATGTAGCCCTTAGCAGAACACCAGACAACATCGGGCTGGTAAGCCGACACGCTGCAATGCGGGCTGCAATTAGAATAACGGCGTCATTAAGTTTAATTTTAACTTTCACTCTCAAACTTTAATATCTGCTTTCAGACGATATGTGATGTGCAGGGAGGCCTCATTGCTGGAGCCCAAAGTGCATTTAAACAGCTAAATTACTGAGTGCTTTTTGCGTCTGATTGATTTGTGGGGAGCTTTAAATATACCGCACGTGTTTGTTTATTGTTGTTGTTGTTTTTAGTCTACATACGATCAATATTTGTACGCACAAATCAGATGTCAGTTCAGGCATGGTTTTGCAGGGGTTTTTTATTTTGAGTTCTCCCCCAAAACGCAACGTTTTGTGAAGCTCAAATCAATTTCAACTCCATTCGGGAATGATGTCAAATGAGCAGCTGCAATATAAGCAAATAATGACCTACTCGCGCCGTTTTGCGACAGAAAATAAGAGTTGAATTTTCACCCCACATGAAAAACTAACATCAGTTTACGAGTGCAAATAATCGTCTATACGTTTGAATTTAGTGTGTGTGCGTGTGAGAGAGAGAGTGTGCGTGTGAGTGTGTATGTGTGTGCATGTGTGTGTGTGAGTGCGCGCGTGTGTGTGTGCGCGCGTGTGTGTGTGTGTGTGTGTGTGTGTGTGTGTGTGTGTGTGTGTGTGTGTGTGTGTGTGTTTGTGCGCGCGTGTGCGTGTTATGGAGTTCAGATTCAAGCATGAAATGTAAACGGCGAGACAGCATTGATGAGGTGAAGTCAAATGTTTCACCAGATGTATGCGCTATAAATTCGTTCACTTCAATAAGATTGTTTCAGGGGTTTTTTTTTTCCCAGGATCGAAGGTCTACGTCTGCTTATTCTGCTGCAGCCATGAAACCAGTTGAAAGTGTTCACTGGTCATGCGATACTTGCACATGAGCTTGCAATGACATCCTTTCCTTTTGGTTTGTGTGTGTCTTGAGGTTGAGTGCCACACTGACACTGAATATGCGTTATTAGAGTTTTGATGCGACGAAATCAGTTCACTTCCTAGCATTTACTGCCTATTCCATTCTTGTTTCCCCAATGACTTAAACTTTCTTTCTGACGCTGCGCGGCACCCGTTTGCATCGTCAATATGACAATCAAGGATAACCGCATGCTCAAAAAGCTTTTTGTGAAAACAAAATAAAATGTCATCCATCTTGCCGCCAAGCAGTGCATAAAAATTCACATGCAGTGACTGAAAACAATCTCGCCCGCAAATGTAGTTTAAACATAAAACAGCTGCAGTGCACAGGAATGGTCATCAACTGTACGTGCGCACACCATTGAGCGATAAAACAATGTGTGTATTCATGCAAATCACCAGAAATTTATCCCAGGAATAGAAGTCATTTCCTCTCTGGAAATACTGCAAAGAATTTGCCTCATCTGGAATCAGCAATCGAGTTGTTGGGAACCGTTTGCGACATTAGGCCGGAGATTAAAAAAAAAGAAAAAGGTTCCCCAAATTGCATGAAGAGCACTTGATTTGGGACCATTATTTTGGGGAGCATGCTTGGGGACCGAACTCAAAGGAGAATTTGGACTTAGAGAAACACGATTCAGTTGTTCGCGTGGTCTGAAGATAATATTGCAGGACTTGCTTGCGCCGGCAGAATCAAATAAATATTTCGTTTTTGTGGATAAAAGAAACACGTCACCGTGTTTAGTATCATTTTAATCCATTGACCAAAACACTTTATTTTTGCAGAAATCCAAAATAGGATTGAAAGGGTAGCAAAACTAAAGTTTGCACATTAAAACGTGATACTGGTATACTGGGCAGGTTGAAATGGTAATTGTCATTTACCGGATTTTGTATTCACTCCTAACCTTTACTTAAGTGGTGTAAAAAAATGTCAGGCCCAAATACCCATGCGTGGAAGTGAACAATTGCAGTTAGCAAATAGATCAACCAGTCAATCAATAAATAAATCAATAAATAAATAGGTTTTCGCGTTCTGAAGCGTCGTCCGTTTTGTTGTTGTTGTTCTTGTTGTTGTCGTCTTTGAATGGAAGATTGGAAGTTGTGGCGGCGCTTGGCGTAGCAGCAGCGTGTTGCCATCACACTTCAGCCGAGGAGGAAGTGAGCGTCTGAGGGCTTCGCTTCCTGCGCGCCACCCCAAAGTGAAAAGAAATGGCTTTATGTTTATATGGTTTTAGGGTGACCTGTTTGCGGCGCCGTAAAAGTCTTTGTCACTGATGCATTCCAGGGGAAGACGCCCATGGAGCGGGCTGAATGTAAGTGACTTTGGATTCCAGACTGCCACCGCCCAGCTTGCGGCTTGCAGCGTCGCTATATGCAAGGGACTTGGTGATATGATTTGCGGCAAGACGAGCGGATGAGAGGGAGCAATAAACAAGGCGGCCTGCAGGTCGGGTGAGCGGGAGCTGCACGACGCACCGCGAGGCGACACCACACGACAGGCCAGCGGAGCCTGAGATCATGACACATGATGAGGAAACATGCGTGTCAACTGCACACACATGACAGATCCCCCTCCCTCCTTCCCTCCCTCCACACACACACACACACACACACACACACACACACACACACACACCCTGCGAGTTGTCCTCTACGTATCCATGTTTTTTGTTATTCGTGCCACACACACGATTAGGCGCATGATTCAATGAGGCTTCGGCGCTTTGTTTTCTCAGAGTTGGCAAAAAATAAGAATTGCTGGCTTCATCTGTAAATTCAAATATATAAATGTCACCTTTCATGAGAAAATCAACATAACTTAATGCTAACATGAGTTGAGTGTAAGTCGTATAGCCACTGATTTTATTGTTTGGGCCAGTATCAGGAAAACTATTCAGAAGGGTTTCTCTTTTCTCACAGTCGATATGTACGACAACGACGGCTTTCGCTATAGCCTGCTACAACAATGAAAGAGACCAAATATGAAGGTTCTTCATGTCTTCGTTGCTCATCTGTCCCTTTGATGCACATTGGGAAGGCAAACGAAGCAGAAGCACCGTTGTGAGTTCAACACGGCAACGTTGTCCAAATGACGAAACGAGCCCGCTTGCACATCAGCGTGACATTCCCGCCACCAAAGTTACGCCGTCACGACGCCGACCCGAAGTCGGAAGCTTCAGACAAATTGATTTTTCGTGTCCGGCCGTCCGTGCGTCCGTCCATCAGTGGCAGATGTCTTTTGTTTACAGCTACGTGCGACGCACGAAACAGCAGCGAGGCAAGTAAAAGCTCTCTCAATGGCCTTCTGTTTTAGTGGGAACCTTCCTGGTGCAGGCAGGGTGCCTTTAAGTGGGGACATATAGGACGAAATTGTGCCCTTGATGAAGACGAACTGACGTAATCAAGGCAGTTTCTTGTTGCCGAGTCAGGAAGCCAACCCCAACAACACGAAACTACCTAAACCACGCTTCAGCTGCGTGATAAAAAGGGTCAAAATCCATGAGAGGAAAGAGCCAGCCGCGCAAAGACAAAGGCGACCAGAACAGTGCACACCAGGCTGCAGGCTGCAGCGGGCGGGCGGACAGCCGCGCGACTTCCTCATCCATCCCAAGTGCACAACATTGGCCAAAGCATATTCCTCACATACACCAAATAGCCACCATTCATTTCCAGCTTGCATGCAAACCAGAGCCAGCACGCGCGTACATTAAATATCCCACTCATCTCCATCGCCATAAAGTCTTGGAACACACCGGCACGCATGTCACACACCCTGAGAGATGAAGCGCACGTTTCCAAAATCAAGGCTAGGAATCACTGCATCGAAGAGAAGAAAAGCGTCCTACCTGGCCTCGGTCCAATCCACGTGCTCTGCTAGATGCAGGAGGGACGGAGGCGCTTCCACCCGCTGTCCATGCCGCGTCCACTCCATCTTTCTTTGGTTATTCTTTCTCGTCCATGTTGTTTGTTTCTGGCAGCCGGCTGCAGCCTCCAAGTGTGCTTGCTCGATGGTGCACTTTGCAGCCGGCGCCCCGTGCATGTGCCGATTCGCCCTCCTCCGCGCACGCACACCTTTTAAAGCGCATCTTTACTGCTGCGGCACATTATATTTGCAGATCATAAAATCCACCCCCAACGCTTTCCAGGGCGAAGCTGACATTAGACTTTTATGACCTTGACTTGCTGTGGTCACCTGGATAATATTTAAATCAAGGTTATGGTCTCGCGCTTCTATTAAAAGTGGCCTGATGCTCTCAGCAGCACTTTCTCTCTATCACTCTCGCTCACACTTTTTGCAGGGACAAGTTGGCCGCCCTGCCTTTGTGTGTGTGCGCGCGCGTGTGTGTGTGTGCGTGCGTGTGTGTGTGTGTGTGTGTGTGTGTGTGTGTGTGTGTGCGTGTTGTTCTGACACTATTTGGCGTGACGTGACGTAGCGGCGTAGTCATCTCGTGCACAAGCACAGCTGGACGTGTGCGTGTCATCCACACACAAGATCATCTTCCGGGTATCCAATCATGAGTCACTGAAGAGTGTGTACTAAGGAACGCCTCCGCTGTTGATGAATGGTTCGATGTTCATTAGTGACCGAACTGACTGTCCATGCATTTGCGTGTGTGTATGAGTGTGCGTACGCATGTGTGTGTGTGTGTGTGTGTGTGTGTGTGTGTGTGTGTGTGTGTGTGTGTGTGTGTGTGTGTGTGTGTGTGTGTGCGTGCGTACGTGTGAGTGCGTTTTAAACGTAGTGATAGACGGCGCCTTGCTCCCTGTGGCGACTCTCCCTGTTGAGCTTCTTGAGCTTCATGCGCCTGTTTTGGAACCAGATCTTGACTTGGCGGTCGGTCAGGTTAATACTCCGGCTGATCTCCAGGCGGCGCTCCCGGGACAGATACATGTTGAACAAGAACTCCTTCTCCAGCTCCAGCGTCTGGTGCTTGGTGTAAGGACAGCGCTTCTTGCGGCCGCTTTTGGCCTTCAACCAGCTTCCGCTTGTCTTCTCCGACGAAACATCTGCACACGTATACGCCGACACAAACATACACACAGAGTCAGTATGTCTTTCTATCTATCTATCTATCTATCTATCTATCTATCTATCTATCTATCTATCTATCTATCTATCTATCTATCTGTCTATCTATCTATCTCGCTAGCTAGCTGTCTGTCTCTGTCTGTATTTGCACACCATTCTGTATGTAATATGTGCGTGTATACTATGCATGTGCGTGTGTGTGTGTCTATGTATATTAGTACACTGTGTGTCTAGTGGGTTTGCTGCTAACTGCTGCCTTCCAGAGCATTTACATCAAATATGGATGTAGGGGGGAAAAGGCCATCCCCCATCCCACCCTCTCTCTCTCTCTCTCTCTCTCTCTCTCTCTCTCTCTCTCTGATTTTTATTTTTAAAAAATCAACACACACACACTCACGCACGCACGCACACACACACACACACACACACACACACACACACACACTCACACACACACACACACACACTCACACACACACACACACACACACACACACACACACACACACACACACACACACACACACAATGTAATATAACAAAAATGATAATCTTAGACTATTGCATTTCTGTAGATGGCTGGGGCAGAAATAATAATCTGCATAAACGCAGAAATAAAATCATTTGCATGTATCCAGATGTTTCAAGTAGACTATTCATCTTCTAAAACAATGCATCCAAATGTAGATGATTGTATTGAGTGGAGCCACTTGATGAAATAAAATTGAATGAATTCAACATACCACTATTTTTTTTGTGTGTTTCACGTCGAAACACAACATTTTTAAAAATAAAAATGAAATACCATGCAGTTAAAAAGTAATTAAAACGTCTGTCTAGGAAATTTGGCAAAAACATAACCCCCCCTCGCTCC